CAATGACATGAGACAAAGTATATTATGTGACCTGCTGTATGAAAAGTGAATTTACTCTGTAAATCTTCACCCAAATCAAAATAAAATTAAAAAAAAAAAAAAAAAATCTTAAGTTGTACTGATTTCACCTCCTTTTCATTTATATTTATTAGATTAATGAAGATTGTTTCAAATATTTTCAACTCTACTGTTGCCTATTTTTTCCTGACTTGTGGATGCAAACTCACCTGAGTTTTTCTAAAGCACTTTCTCTTTCAATGCGAAGTTTAGCTAAAGATGTGTTCTCATCTTTGAATTTTTCTATTTCTGTTTCCAATTCAGTAACTTTCTCTCTCAAAATCTGGGATCGAGCACTGTCACCTATAAAATAAGTCAGAAATACTGAGCTTCACAAAAGGCCTTCTAGCAGTAAGCACACTAACCATTAATACTAAGGCCCAAAAATACAATAACCACATTAAAATGGATCAGAAAACATTCTTCAAATGACAAACTTAAAAAAAAAAATTAATTAGCCTAACTCCAGAGGAAACCAATGTAAATTTAAGAAAGAATTAAGTTATTCCACAGCAAAAGATCATCAATCTGCCAATTAATTAGTCTGCTGGCATAGCTCCTAAAGCATTTGACTGCTAACCAGAAGGCTGGAGGTTCAAACCCACCAGCCACTCCTCAGAAAGAAGGTTGGGCAATCTACTTCCATAGAGATACTACCTCAGAAACCCAAGGAGGGGTCACTATGAATCGAAATTGACTCAATGGCAGTGAGTTTTGCTTTTTTGGTTTTATATATTAAAAGAAAGGAGCTCTGGTGGCGCAGTGCCTAAAGGCATTTGACTGCTAACCAGAAGGCTGGCAGTTCAAACCTACCAGCCATTCGGAGGAAGGAAGACTGGGCAATCTACTTCTGTAAAGATTTACTGCCTCAGAAACCCAATGGGGGTCACTATAAGTTGGAATCGACTTGATGGCAGTGAGTTTGTTTTTGCTTTTTTTCAATATATAAAAAGAGCTCATTCAAATCAACTTTTAAAAAAGACCAATAAATATAATTTGTAAAAGATCTAAAGGGCTAATCACCAACAAAAAGTTCACCTTACCACTCTAATCAAAAAAATGTATATTAAGATTTTTCTCCCTATGAATTTTACTGTGTTAAAAAATAAAATAGCCACAACTTATATCCTTCAAGTAAAACAAACATTTTATCTATCGCTAATACTCTTTAAGGCGCTCTGGTAGCATAGTGGCTAAGGCACTTGACTGCTAACCAGAAGGCTGGAGGTTCAAACCCACCAACCGCTCCTCGGAAAGAAGATGGGGCAATCTACTTCCGTAGTAATACTGCCTCGGAAACCCAAGGAGGGGTCGCTATGAGTCGGGTCTGACTCGACGGCACATAATAACAACAACAATACTCTTTGGGGAAAATTTTTTCAAACATATCATGAGATTAAAACATACTTACCTATCCTCTGACCCAGTTATTTTACTTCTAAAATTCTAGGTAGAATGAACATGCAAAATCATACAAATATTTCTGCACAAAAAATATGCACTGCATTTCCAAAAGTATATAATTTAAGTGTCCATCATTAAGGAAATTATTAAAATTATGTTATATTTATATAATGAAACAAAGAATTTTAAAGACATGAGCAATGCAAATAATACACTTGGTCAATAAGAAGGAAACAATAATATATGTCCCTATCATATCAAAAATGCACAGTAAAAATGACTGAAAGGAAATATCCCAATATAATAAGCAATTATCACTGGATAGGGAGCTCTGGTGGTGTGATGCCTAAGGCATTTGACTGCTAACTTGAAGGCTGGCGGTTCAAACCCACCAGCCACTCCTTGGAAGGAAGATTGGGCGATCCACTTCTATAGTCATACCACCTCGGAAACCCAAGGAAGGGTCACTATGAGTTGAATCCAATTCGATCGCATTGAGTTTGATTTTTTTTGTTTTGTTTTTGGTTTTTAATCACTGGATAGCTTAGTTATAAACATTTTTTCATAAACATATATTTTTTGAATCATGATTCATTGTAATAGAATATTGCTTAAATATTTTTTAAGCATCCAAACTTCCAGTAAGAAGCATTACTTTTAGAATCCGTATTTCAAAAAAATAAAAGCTTAAGCTACGTTCTGGTTACCTAGTGCCGCTCTGACAAGAAATATAGCACAAATGGGATGCCCTTAACAAACAGTAGTTTATTCTCTTACAGTTTGGAGATTTTAAGTCCAAGTTCAAAGTGCCAGGCTCTAGGGGCTGGGTGAAAGCCCCTCAGCCTTGGGCTTCAACAATGCCTCCAGCTCCCAGCCCACTGAAGCTAGAGGCTTTTCTTCACTCAGACAGCTGTTGGCTGCTGAGACTGCCAAGCCCAAGGTTGACAAGTAAAAAGGCACAGTCCCGATGTTACCAAACCACACGGCAGGCCATTAATTCAAGTCCACTGTAAGTCCCCAGGTCGGCAGAGTATGGCAGGCTGCTGAACCAAGACACAGCTACATGCAGGGTCCAAGCATGCCATAAGCTAGAGACCATTCTCCAGGGCTTCTGCTTCAATACAGGAAGCAGACCACATTCCCTAAGGCAGCTAGCTACTCAGCTGCTCACAGTAGATTCCACCATGTTGTTGATTACCAGTCTCATCATGAGGAATACTACATCTAGCTGCCCAGCCACTCAACCAGGCCCGGCCAAGTTGACACATAAACTGAGCTACCACAAGCTATAATTTATATTAAAATATTTATGCTAACCTAGCCATTCAGAATATGTAACAATATAATGGAAGGAAGCTTTTCAATATGTTGTTATTGTTGTTATGTGCCATGGAGTCGGACCTGACTCATAGCGACCTCTCCTTGGGTTTCCAAGGCAGTATCACTACGGAAGTAGATTGCCCAACCTTCCTTCTGAGGAGTGGCTGGTGGGTGTGAATCGCCAGGCTTTTGCTTAGCAGTCAAGTGCCTTAGGCACAAAAAAAAGCCCATCATATCAAATGAATACTATATAGTCATTGAAAGGCATGAGGTAAATGTGTATGTTACAATAATCTTCAGAACTGATCATAAGCAAAGTGCAAAACAGTATATAAAAGCATGCTTTCATTTGTGCAAAAGAGGGGAGGATTATACACACACTTCTATATGTACATTTTTATATGTATGAGATATTTTTACAATACACAAGCAAAATGGTAATGGTGACACCTCTAAGGCGGGCCTAGATGCCAAGGTCTGAGGAAGGAAAGAAATTTAGTTTTTACTGTATTCCCTTCATGGTCATGCCTGGCAAGTTAATACACAAGGTGGTAAAAATTTTTTAAATTCTAATTAAAAAAAGCAGACACACAAAGGTCCACCCCATAGTAACACAAAGTGTAAGTTAGGTACTCTGTGCTTGTACAAGAAACTTAAATATTATCTCACTTTATAATAAAGTAATTCACCATTGTTGTTGTTATGTGCCGTCGAGTCGGCCCGGACTCATAGCGACCCCTCCTTGGGTTTCCGAGGCAGTTATCACTACGGAAGTAGGATAGCCCAACCTTCCTTCCGAGGAGTGGCTGGTGGGTTTGAACCACCAGCCTTCTGGTTAGCAGTCAAGTGCCTTAGCCACTATGCTACCAGAGCTCCTAAAGCCATGGAAATGCTAAGACTCAGGCTTAAGTATGAAAAATTTGAAAGCCATTAATTTAAATCTCTTATACTAGTGAGTATTACATTACTTAGCTCCACAAAGTAAGTAAAATTTTTAAAAATCACCAACTACTTTGACTTATACTGAGCAACCGGAAAGCTTAAGATTTTAAGCATTTTCTTTGACAATGTAATGATAAATGTTAAATTTATAACATTCTGATAATGTATTTTATAATGTTTTGACTTACCAGGTGGTTGGTCTTGACTTATGTTGTTGGGTTCACTTTCCAAATGTGAATCTGACTTTGGTTTTGGTTTCAGAGAAGGGAAGAATTTCATCACAAGCTCTGATGTAGGGGGAGGACTTAAGTGTTCTCTTTTTTTGACTGGGGCAATCTTTCTTTTTATTGTTTTGTCCAGTACATATATTTCACTCTTATTAGGGTAGCTTGACTGAGGAGTCCCATAAAGAGCTTCATTCTCAGAAATAACATCATGTTTACATGAATTCTCTTCAAAGTCAGTCCAAGTTCTTTCATCATCAAAGTCAATTTTACTTATACTTATGGATGAGGTTTTACTTGAGGACTCAGAAACTTTATTTTTCATATTTTCTATGGTAATAGACTCATCACTACTATAATCTTTAACAGACAAATCTAGATCAACATCTCTACTTTTATCTGTTCCTTGAGTTCCAGTGTCACAGACATCTGGACTATTTTCTCTGCTGCTGAAAGACCTTTCTTTATCTCCAGTTGATGGTTTTATGGTGACATAAAGTTTTTCCTCAAAATCAACACTACTATCACTGTTCTGAACACCTTCATCATCACTTGCATTCCATCCAGTTTTATTGTCAGAAATCTTCATGAAAACTGCTTTCCTACTGATTTCATAGGATTGTTTCTTCAATCCAGTGGGTGATGATACTGAATCAAATTGTTTGGGTGTGGCACACTCACTCTTATTTTCATATTGGTCAAGATTCTCAGTTTGCTTACACTGACTAATAAGATCCATTGTATTTGTCGTCTTCTGCTGCACAACTTTGACAGGAGTAGATGCTATCTGGTGACCTTTGCAAATCTGCTGATCCCTTTCTAAGATTTTCAGCACAAATGAAGAATTACTAGAAAATGATATTTCATCAGCAGCTTGTTCTAAAAACAAAAATTCATCTAATTCCAAATTTTCCTTTTCCTTTTCTCGTTCCCAATTTTCTAACTTTTTCCAAACGGAAACATCAAAAGAAGACTCTGACTCTTTTAAAGTCTCACCTATCAGGCTCTTAGAAGCCATGCAGTTAACCAGCCCTGTCAGAATAGGAAATTTTTCTTTATCTTGTGTCTTATTCCAGATTTTACACCCAGTATCACAAAGTTTAGTACACTCGACTACATTTTCTTTATTATTAGATTCAACTATTTTTTCTGATTTGATCTGGTTTCTAAATTGTCCATCACATTTCTTTCCTGTCTGTATTTTCAACCCCACTGGAGAAAGACTTTTTCTATTACTCTTAAGCAGTTTTGGCTTCTGACTGAATGCAACAGGACCACTCTTGGTTCTAGCTTTACTATTTTTCTTAACAGTAGGGTTCTCTGTACATGGTCCTTTATTTATAAGAGCAGTTTTCCGTTGGAATTGTTGTCTGTCTACTTTAAACTGAGGTTGGTCCTCTGAAGTGCTCTGATTAGTGACTAATTTACTGTCTTTTCCTTTCTGAAAGTTAGATTTAGCATTAGTAAACCTAGCTAAACCTTCTCCTCTTTTTAAGAATGGTTGCTTTGGTTTCACTTTGATTAACAAAGATCCTTCTGCTTCCTAAAATAAAAGAATGATATATGAATTAATTCTCATATTTCTTATATATTACTGGTATACTTAAGTAATCTCAAAGTTTTATTGTGTTTTGTCTTTCTTCTTATAATTATATTCTGTTGGGAATTCTCTCCTATAATCTTTTTTTAAAAATTGTGATAAAACATATATAACTAAACATTTGCCAGTTCAACAATGTTTACATATACAAATCAGTAACACTGATTAGATTTATCAGGTGCAACAATTACCAATTCAAAATTATTTTTAAAGCAAATTATAAATTCTCTAACACCTTGGAATAAATCACTTAATAGAGTTGAAATGCTAACCCTTAGCTGTTTTTGTTTCAGTTCTTGTTCTTCCAACTGAATTTGTTCTTCCAAGTAATCTTCAAATGTCTGTTTCCTTTCTCTAATAGCAGCTTTAATAGGTCTAATAGAAAATAAAGAACACAGTTATTTAATGGGAAAATGATGATTTGATAACTATTTTATACTTGTTGCTGTTGTTGTGTGCTGTCAAGTCGACCCTGACTCATAGAGACCCCTCCTTGGGTTGCCATGGCAGTATCACTACGGAAGTAGACTGCCCAACCTTCCTTCCAAGGATTTTATACTTAGTGTTCCTGATAATGATACCCCTGACTTCACTGAGAAGTACTCTTTTTCAAAGTCAGGGTCACCCTTTGAGAATCTAGTGAAAGCTACAATCCTCCTCCATGCCTCAAAATACAAATACATCCTACTTTACATAAGATTTACGGGTATTAAAGGATTCTTCTGAAACCCATCTACTGACTACCTTAACTTTTGGAGTAAGTAGAGCAACAATCAGAAAGGTTATTTTGCCCATATCATAGCACATATTAAAATATCTTAAATACATAAAAACTAATAAATAACCTCAATATAGATATTTTATCTTTGTCATTAGTTTTTATTCTATAGCTAGACTAATTATGCAATAATTAGTTACAAATGATATTTAAATGTGAGATTCCAATACTTAATTTTTCTCTTAAATAAGATTTACCTATTTGAGAAAATACTCATTCTTATCCAGATGTTTTTCTTAAGTGAAAACACCTTCCACAATTTTCCCATTATAATGTCAAAGCTATTTTAACTTATGTATCTCTCCAACCTCTTTATTTTGCTGACAGTATTTGATATATCTGCAATCTTTATAGTTAAAAGTATATTCAAATGAAAATAAGAAAATTGTGGATGTTTCAAACAAACATAATAAAGGCTGGCTATTATACTATCATATTTCTTAACAACATGGATGTACCTTTCTTCAATATTAACCACTTCTGAGGAATCACCATTTTTTTTAAAGTTTGTATCGTTCCCTTCCTGAATTTGTTCAGTGATTTTCTCCAAACACGATAAAATATCTTCTCCTAAGATAAAAATTAGGAACATTTTAGTTCAAGAAAAGCAGATTAAAATCTTGTAACTCGAGCATTTTACAATACCGTGCTAGAAAATTTTCTAATTATAAGTAATGTAGGGCAAAGATTTTAGAACTCTCAAGGATTCATTTAATCTGATAAAGAAAAATTACAAATCCCCAATAAGACAATTGACATTCTTCAAAAAGTTTAATGCTATGGAAAAAAAGTGGGACCTTTTCCAGATTGAAAAAGACTAGAGAGTTATAAAAACCAAATGTAATGTATGAACTGTGACTGAATCCTGGTTTTTAAAAAAACAACTATAAAAAACATTTTTGGGATAATGAGGAAATTTCAAAATGGACTGGCTATTAAAGAGGTGTTATTTTACTTAGATATAATAACAGTATTGTGGTTATGTAGAATAATGTTCTAATTTTAATTGATGCATGCTGAAAATGTGGGAATTAAGTGACATAATTTGTACATACTATTTTCAATAAAATATATAACTGTAAACATATAAATATAGGTATAGTTATAGATATAAATATATATAAAGTAAATATCACAAACTAGTAACTGTTAAATCTGGGTGGTAATCATTGCAGTTGTCTTTCCATTTTTCTGGATATATGATATTTTACAAAATAAAAGGCTAAGTGACTGGTACACCATGCAATCCTCAGCCTGTATGACTATGAGACCAGAAGAACTAGATGGTACCCAGCTATCACTGCCAACCACTCAGAGGTGGATCTATGTAGGAGGATCCTGGATAGAGTGGGAGAACAATGTAGGAACAAAACCCAAACTCATTAGGAAAAAAAATAAAATAAAAAGGGACCAGGTTTGCTGGTCTGATAGAGCCTGATGGAGCCACTGAGACTATGGCCCCTAGCTGCCCTTCAGGTCTGCAACTGAGCCCACTCCCATGGCTTCCGGCCAAACAAAAGACAGGCATATGAGCTGAACATTTACATCAGGTAGATACACTCCTTGGAGAGATCGATCATGGGAGAAGAGAGGGGAGACAGTACAGGGGGCAGGAATGCATGGGAGAGAAGGACACAGGGAATAGGTAACTATGGGGAAGAAGTGGGAGCTGTTGCATCGTGGGAAATTGCTGTCAATGTCATGAGACAAAGTGTATGTGAGCTGCTGTACAGAAAGTGAATTTGCTTTGTAAACTTTTACTCAAATCACAATAAACATTTAAAAAATAAAAGGCTAGGGGAGTATATTATTTAAAAAGACACTCGACCTTTCCATATCAAAGAATTAACTTTAAATTAGGAATCAGGTATTATAAACAAAGGTGTCCCAATTTTAAGTAATAAGTTATTCATTCTTATTTGTACTCTTCTGTAACTTAAATTACTCAAAAGAACACATTCATGAAAGCACATTTTTAATATAAAAAATACTGGACACAACTTTGTCCTACCACAAAGAACATTAAATATTGGTATATAACTTGATAAACAGCATGTTGTTGTTCTTATGTGCCATCGAGTCGGACCCGACTCATAGCGACCACTCTTTGGGTTTCCAAGGCAGTATCATTATGGAAGTAGATTGCCCAACCTTCCTTCTGAGGAGTGGCTGGGGAGTTTGAACCGCCAGCCTTCTGGTTAGCAGTCAAGTGTCTTAGGCACTACACTACCAGAGCTCCTGATGAACAGCACATCACCATTAAAATTAAAGTTCAGAAGAGTACAGAACGTATCACAAGCATTTCCACTGTTGAACAGGAAAAGAACACAATATTACAGACAACCCCTGAGTTACAGAAGGAAGACTAGGCAATCTACTTCTGTGAAGATTTACCGCCTCAGAAACCCAAAGGGGGTCACTATGAGTTGGAATTGACTCAATGGCAGTGAGTTTGATTTTTGGCTTTCCCTGGGTTACAAATGACATCCATTCCTGTCATTAAGAATTGCAGGTAAGTGACCACTATTGTAAAAAGTCAATGAAAGGGTTTCACACAAAAAGAAATATTCTTTGATGGTTAGCAGGGGTAGGAGGGGGAGAGAGGATAAAATACTAACTAGATGATACATACTATCACTGACCAGCTCTGTGGTATTGGCCAAATTCTCTAAGCTTCAGTTGTCTCATCTGTAAAATGGAGCTAGTAATTGTTGTTGTTGTTGTTATGTGCCGTCGAGTCGGTCCCGACTCATAGCGACCCCTCCTTGGGTTTCCGAGGCAGTATCACTACGGAAGTAGGATTGCCCAACCTTCCTTCCGAGGAGTGGCTGGTGGGTTTGAACCGCCAGCCGTCTGGTTAGCAGGCAAGTGTCTTAGCCACTATGCTACCAGAGCTCCTAATAGAACTAATAATAGAACTAATAGAACTGTGTAAATTAAATGAAATGGAAGTACTTAGAAAACACCCTTTAAGACCATTCTAATTAATTCCTCTGTTAGAAAATAAAAGTTCTACTCCAAAACCATGAAGGAAAGGAGTGAAAAAGAGCCTTAAGAATTACTGGCTCACTTCACATAAAGGGAAAACGAGGCCCTGTGAGGGAAAAACACTTGTCCCAGGTCACACAGCAAACCAGAGGCAACTCCAGTATGGAAACCCAGTACAGGACACCTAGCACAGAGTTTATTATTCCATATCATGAGCCACATGGGAATTTAAAAAAAAAGAAAAGGTTCTTATTTACCTTTACTTTAGTGCAAGAAATGGCTGGAAGCCTTTTCAATGATTTAAAAGCTCCATGAGCAGCAAATGAAGGTGATTAATTCAATTAAGAATTTGGTGGCCACTTTGAAATGTGTGTGGTTCTCCACAGTCCTGCTAATAATCCAATTTCACACATCAGACTCTTCAAAGGGCTCACTATGCTATTTCCAAGTCTCCCATTCTAGGGCTTCAACTCATCATTTTTTCCTGGTTACTGTGACATTTTTTCCAGTTACTGTGACAAATCACCCAAAATTCCTGTCCCTGTTAAGTTTCATCAGCCATCCCTGTTAAGTTTCATCAGCCATGACAGAACCAGTTTGAAACCCTGCATTAAATGGCAAGTAGGAGATGTCCGTTAGTCGGACGTTCGTAACCCAAAGACTGCCTGTATCATATAATGATATTATTTAAATAAATAAAGGTTAGAATAGGACTGAAAAAAAATACACCAAAATTGCTAACAGAGTTCAATTTGTTTACACCATCAAAAGCTGAGTGCCAGTTATATGCCAGGAACATGGTTGTTGTTGTTGTTGTTAAGTGCTGTCGAGTCAGCCCCGACTCATAGCGACCCCTCCTTGGGTTTCCAAGGCAGTATCACTACAGAAGTAGATTGCCCAACCTTCCTTCTGAGG